TTATTAGCAGATTGAACTTTTACATTGTCAACATTCTTCAAAAAGTTTCAAAGCTATATCAAATGGATACAGTGCAATGAACTTAAATATTTCCTTAATGTTGAATATGTAGATAATTTTCCATCCTACTCTAATGCAAAAAAATCCACTAATAACTAAAGATGTTTATCACATGTATTCATTACATGAATATTTAGTGGGTACAACTAGTAATTATGGCAGAAAAATAAATATATAAATTGGGTACCTGGCTAAATGGGACATACTCAATGCATTTTTTATTATAATTAAATTTTAAAAATTTTAGATTTATTGAAATGCATGTTACATATAATAAATTATACTTTTTACATGATGAGTTCAGTGAATTTTAACAAAGGTACCTAGTTCTATAATCACATCACAATCCAGATATATAACATTCTTCCAACCCAAAACTGAGCCTTTGTACTCCTGTTACTTAACAGTAAATTATCTCCATTAGCCATAGCAACTATTGACCTGTTTTCTGTTGCTGTACTTTTCATTTTGTAGACTGTTATATAAAAACATAAGAGTATGTTGCCTGTTGTATGTGGCTTAACATAATGGGCACAAAGCCCTGAATTTAAACCACAGTCCTACTTAATTTAAAAAAATGGTGTTTGAGAACATATGTTTAACCTGATTTAAACATTACCCTGTGAACACATTTATCAAAATGCCATATGGTACCTCATGAATATGTACAATTTCTTTTTCCCATCACCATTCACATTCTCTTGAGTAAGCCACCAGAGACACCATGCATTGCCTCAGAAGTAAGCAGTATGAAATTCAGGGTTTCAGATTTAAGAGGATCTGACCTCATTGCCCTTTGTAACTAGCTGGTTCATCAGACTAACTCAGAGATCACAAATTCCCCAATTTATCTCTTGGCAATGACATTGCTTTCTGAGCTGAGGATACAGGGAGAGGAGTGGAAAAGGGAACAGATTTGCTTCACACACAAACCCATCCTGGGCATTCAGGAGGGAAAACAAGAGCCTGCAGAGAGCTCAGCATCTGCTTGTGCAGCCAGTGAGTCCCTGGGACATTGGCTGTAGCCTGGACTCCTTTGCTCCTCCTCTTTCTACTTCTTCCTTACTGCCCAGGTTTCTGGATACTTCAGAGAATGGCCTTTGGAGGGATCTCTCTGCCATGGTTTCTCATTCCTAAAATATATCTATTTTTGTTTCAGGATATACTTCTAAGGCCATGGTACCTTAAATGTTATATTTTGGATTCTGAGTGTTCACCCAAATCTCATGTATGAAAGGATTGGTCACCAGCCTGTGGCACCATTAGGAAGTGATGGAAACACTAGAAAACGATGAGCACCATTTCTCAGACTGGCTCATAAAAGGCCCTGCAGCCTCCTTGCTCACTTTCCTTGATCATTATTCTAATAGAAGCCAGTTAACCATGTACTGAGAACACAGGCAGCCAAGTAGAGAGGCCCACATAGAACTGAGGCCTTTTCCCAACCTCCTGGAATAAAGCAGTCACCTGTCAACAGTCATATTGGAGGCAGACCCTCCAGCCCCAATCTAACCTTCAGATGATAGCAACTTCATGAGATCCCAAACCAGAACAATCCAGCTAAGCTACTGTGGATTCCTGATGCTCAGCAACTGTGAAGATAACAAAAGTTTCATTTCAATGTCAGTTTTATGGTAATTTCTTGTGCAGCAACAGATAACTAGTAACACTTCTTACCTGAAATCTTCAAGCAGCACACAATCCTACTCATTAAAAGTGGAATGAGTAGGTATGCACGTATAGTCCCAGATATTCAGGAGGCTGATATGGATCACTTGACCCCAGCAGATTAAGACCAGTCTAGAAAACAGTGAGACCTATCTCCAAAAGAAGTTTTTGACGGTTTTACCCAGAGTAAGTCTGATAGTGTAATTGTATCTCTGTACTGCACGTTTCATCATTAAAATCACAGGAAGTGATTTAGATTTATGTGGCTAGCATTTCCTTGATTTCCACTCTGGAAGTAAAAAAGGGCCTTTGGAAGATTCATTTGCCTAGACCATTCTTTTAATTTATGGCAGTCTTATAGGAGGAATGGTTGTTCAGTCTTCATAAATTATTTTCTTTTTGGAAGGTTGTCTTCATTTTCTTTCACGTAAACTGTATTTTAAATTTTTATACTTAAGTGAATCAGAATGGCAGATCAATACATTAGTGATTTTCCTAGAAGCTAAACACCTAATGATGTATGCCTATGGACAAGGAAATTTAGAAATAAGATCACAAATTTTTTGCTTTTTATTTATTTACAGGGTCTTGCTATGTAGCCCAAGCTTGCCTCAACCTCCCAAGTGCTGGGAATGATTATAGGCAAGTATAGGCAAGGCTTTTTTTTTTCCTGTACTGGGGAGTGGACCTTAGGAAAGCTAGGCAAGCATTGTACCACCAAGCTATATCCCTGCCCCTTACTGGTTTAAAACTGGCTACAAATCCTTTTTTAAAATATTGTTATCAAGGTCTATTTGACATACATACACACACACACACACACTCTAAGACACTTCCTGTTTTGTCATTTTTCTGGACATTTGCCTCTTTCCACTGCTTTGAACTTTTTATCACTTTATAAGATCAAAGAATTATAGTCCTATCACATTCACATCCAAAGCTTTCCTAAGTCACAAATCCAAAAGCAGGAACACCAGGAAAGGTACAAATGAGTGTAAGTCGTAACTCATAACCTAGAACAGAAAACTCAGCAAAATGTTCTCCGTGGCAGGAAGTAAACATTTTAACTTTTGCAGGATGCATGAGTTTCTGGCACTCTCACACTCTGCTTTCTCTAATAGTGCTTTGAAAATTGTAATTCTCTGGGTCTCAGTGGCTCATGCCTGTAATCCTAGCTACTCAGGAGGCAGAGATCAGGAAGGTGTGGTTCAAGGCCAGCCCAGGTAAATAGTTCTTGAGACCCTATCTTGAAAAAAATCCCATCACAAAAAAAGGATGTTGGAGTGGCTCAAAGTGTAGACCCTGAGTTCAAACCCCAGTACTAAAAATAATAATTCTTAACTGGAAGGCCATAGTTTGGCCTAAGAAAGACTCTTGTGTTTTGGTAGCAATCTTACCATGCATCAAAAATTATTTTCAATTTAAACTTTTTTTGCACTGAGAACACTTAAAATCTACTCTGAGATTTTTTTTTTTTTTGGCAGTACTGGGATTTGACTCAGGTCCTCACACTTGCTAGGCAGGTGCTCTACCTCTTGAACCATGTCCCCTGCCCTCATTTCAATCCTATAAGTAGGATAAACAGTCTAAGAGGGTTATCCAACTGGACTGGAATGCATTTTCTTCTATTCATATAATGAATATTTTAAACAGAATCATTATCTGATTAAAACTCAATTGTACTAAGCATTTATCATTCTTTTCCATATTATGTGTAAACAACTTCAAAGCATACATTTCAGATATTGCGTTCTGATTCTACAATACATTCAAATTTTTGCACTGCCATAGCTCCTACTGTCATTACTTTTGATAACTGTGTAACACTGTTTACAGTAAGTATATATTTAATAATTTGATCTTCACTTTGGTTTTGAAGTTTTATAACTAGGAAATAGTCTCTTTTTCATAAGTCTATCATTTATACTACATTCATTTAAAGGGGAATTTTTCTATAATTAAAATGTATTTTACCACAGGAAAAATAACGTTTTTCAAATAACCCATGTAGTAATGTGAAAAAGACATTTGTATAGACATGCCAGTTTACACACACACACACACACACACACACACACACACATCCTCAAAGCTCCAAAGGGAAAAATAAAAAACCTCAATTCTTGGTAAAACTAAAAAGAAAAAAAAGAGCACTTGGCTAGCATGCATGAAGCCCTAGGTCAATCCCCAGCACTACAAAGATAAAAACAAGGTAAACTTAGCCCACAACATTTAAAATTTTGAATTAAGAATGCATATTTTAATAATATGTATCAATACAGGTGTGGTGGTACATTCCTGTAATCCCAGAACTCCATAGGCATAGCCATGGAGTTTGAGGTCCACCTGGGCTACACATAAAAACAAGACAAGTAAAAATTAAAATGGGAAAAAAATTGAAATTCAAAGCTGTAAACAGTGGTAGGCAGTCTTAAATTATTTTATTAAAGAAAAAGTAAAGTTTTTAAAAGTAATTTAAACAAATCCTAAAATAAGCAGAAGAGGTATAATAAAAGAAAAAAATTAGTTGGCGTAATAAAAGGTTATTGTAATAAAAGGTTGCTTCTTAGAAAATCAAAAACATTGATTAAAATTGTGACAAATCAAGAGGAAATACTCTAATACTCTACATGATAAAGAAAATTGTACTCTAGAGTACTGAGAATAATCTATTCCAAATAGATTACTTGTGCTTAAAGAAAGGAAGGTTTTTATGTCTTTATTTTTTTTTCTCTTTGAGGTTTTTGAGACAGGGTCTCACTTTGAAGCCTAGGTTGTCCTCAAACTCACTATTATGCCTCAGCCTCCAGAGTACTGGGATTACAGGCATGTGTCACCATCCCAGGCTTAAGAAGGGAAGATTTCTAATAGGAAAGTTGTGAATGCAGCCAAGAAACCTTTGGTTAGTAACGAAAGAGTAAATGGCTATCTGAATGCATGCTATAAAATTTCCAATAAAATGAACAATTCTCCTTAAAGATTCTAAAAATGGAAATAGAAATTCTTGAAGCAATATACTCATTACTTTAATAGTAAATCATTTGTCATTAAAACCAAGAACAGGAAGCCCATTAACTCTATCATATTTTATCAGTTTTTAGAAGTTCTGTCCAATGAAATAAGACTAAAAATGAACACAACTGACAGGGAATACAAAATACAAATTAAATAAAACTAAAACATGTGTTATTGATGCAAAGACATACAGCAAAACACTTTTTTCACAAAACATTTTATTACTATAATTTTATTTCACTTATAATTTTGGCAACATTAATAAAATACTAAATTTCATCTGAAAGAACAAGCAGCAAAATAGACAAGGAAATTCACAAATGGTAATAAAATAGTAATCTGGGCAGATGTTCAATATATTTGTAAACAAAACAAAGTGACACTGCTTTAAAAAATACAGCACTTTCAATACAAAAACAAAAAGCTCCTGAAATACTGAACTCACAATATTAATTTTCTTTTGGTTGTAGGCACAGAAATTGACAGAAGCTGAGACTAGCTCAATTCTAAGACACCAGCAAAGTTGATGGTGATGACTGCTTCCCAGCTTTTTTGTGAATACCTGGGAAATTTAACTAGATTAGAGGGAATAAAGGGAGGTGGGTAACATGTCACTAAAGAGAAGGAATCAATGAGGTTTCAAACAGCAGGGGAGATTTCTAGGCACTCTAAGAACTTTGGTGAAGCTCAATAAGCCAAAGGTGAGGTAGCAGGCCATGCAGACCAAGGGGAAGAGCATTCTAAGAAAGGGGAAAGCATGTGCAGCCTTGGATCAGGAAGAGATGTGATTTACTTGAGGAGTAATAAGTACAGTATGTCAAGAGTGCATCAATGGGAAAAACTGTAGTGAAACATGGCAGAGAGAGAGAGAGGAGAGGAAGTATGCAGAGGTCAAACACTGGAACGTGTAGTGGTTAGTAATAAAATGACAATTTTTACACCTTAGGAACATACTTTGGTGAAATAGCACTTTACATTAAGCAATCACCAAAACACCGAACATGTTATTTTTACAATACAGAGTATGCAAAAGTCTGCAGATTTACTTATACACAGTAGGAACAGGTGATATGAACAGGCACACTTTCTACACCTGAAGAACGGATTCAGGGTACAATTTTACCAATGTGCTTTGGCCCAAACCAAAGGCCTAGTAAAATGTTCAAGGTGCAAATCAAGCAAGCAAGAATAGAGCAAATAAATAATCTACTCATAACTTTTTAAGTTATGTGTAATCCCTCCTTTAATTTAACTGGGATGCTAAAACTAATTATCTCTCCTCAGCTTTTCACGAAACCTTAGAAAATTAACTAGAATGAGGAGGAAAGAAAAGAGTAGGGAGAAATAGGGAACCTTTCAAAAACATTTTTTTCGGGGGAGGGTGTTGAGATAATGCCTTGCTATGTGATCCAGGCTGGCCTGGAACCCACTCCTGCCTGAGCGTCCCATGTGCTGGGAACAGAGATGCATGCCAGTACTCCCAGCAAGATAAGGTACCTTTGAAGAGAAGAAAAGGAAAAAAAAATGCAGATATTTCTCCAGAGCAATGCTTAAAACCAGGATACTACATTCCCTGACTGATGAACAGGGGTTGCTGGGCACCTGGCTTGGGGATGGAGGAACAATGGATGGCACTGGACCAGACCTGGAGAGACAATCCTAGGGACTCACAGAAGCAGCTGATAATGCTGTTTAACAGCCAACACTCAGAGGATACACCACAGTTCCAAGTGTGACAATGTGATTATACATTTAACAAAGGAAAAACTGTTAATTGTAATACACTCTGGCACAAGGCAAGAAACAAAACTGCAAGGTCCATATGTCCAATGACCATACACAAGCACTGAAAAATATCAGGCCCTATAATGGATTTGATTCTATTCAGTCACCCTGGGCTATTTTTATCTACGGTACCTACTATCCTTGGCAAGAATCCATTCCAGCTTAACAGTGGGAGAACTAAATTTAGCCCAGGTCAACTAGACAGATATTTGGCCCTTTTCAGTTAAAACTATGGGTCCAGTATAGTTCAAAGTATGGGTGCCAGGGCTTACCCTGGGAAACATAACACCCTTAACTGCTGTGGCTGAGAGGGATATGGCCAATTCATTCAACACTAATGGCTAACCAAAAGAGAGGAAAGTTACAAATCCATTTTCTCTTTAGATCACTTAATAGGACTTTCACTCTGCTTCTTCATATGAAGCTGAAGATACACAGCACAGTTTGATGTCTGCAGAGATCCGAGCTTCACAAATGCTGGCATGGTTTTGCTTCCTTGGATGTTCTATCCTTACAGGCACTGTGAGGCAGTGTTTCTTCTGCTTTGGCTCTAACATTGGAGTAACTGTATGCCTATCCCATACCTGGAACAAGAAGTCACTGCTCTGATTAAATAACTTGTGTCTTCCTGATCTCCATTCATGTCACAGCTTTTCCCACTCAATTCCACACCCAGGTTTTCAGAACCAGGTGATTTTGTGCCAGCAAAGAGGCACTTCTGGTTCATGAGCAAATGAGCCAGGCTATAACAAAGTCACTCCAGTTTGACTAGAGGCAATAATGAAATCCGTAATATATGGAAAAAGAAAATAAAATTAAATACTTCAAAAACTATAAATTCTGTGTGTAGGAAAAAAAATTTTCAAGCTTAGAAGTAACATGAAATACCAAAATAATAAAATTTCTACTTGCTTTTTCTGTCACTCAAACACACAAATTCCTTTCACATGTTGAGCCAGACAATTAACATGAAAACCAGGTGATACATTTTAAGTAACACCTCAAAATTCAATTAAACAGCATTGGAGAAGCTGGAAATGTGACTTAGTGGTAGAGCACTTCCTAGCATGTTCAAGGTCCTGGATTCTTTGTGAGCACTGGAAAAAAACACTGCATTTATCATGAACTTTAAAGTCTCAAGGGTTGCAACCAGAAGGTCCTGAGGTCAAACCATGGTACCATGAAAAAAGAGAGAGTGAGAAAGGCGAAAAGGAAACAAAGAAAGAAAAAAATAAAAAGTCTTAAATAATTTTGGTGCTACTGAATATAGTTTGTATTTTTTCCTTTCCATTTGTGTTTTCCTTTTTATTTAGAGTGGAATATTTGCTTTTGGTTTACCAAAACTAGAATTGATGGTGTTTTTTTGAAATTCTGCTTTTAGACCTGGACGATGATGGTTCAGAGTCAGTCATGCTCACAGTAATGGATGCTACTTTCACTGATCCAGGCTGAACAGGTCCGAGTGACACTTGAATAATGACTTCTGTCTCAGGAGGTAATCCTTCTAGTTGCTTAGGCTTCTTAAACCTTTGATGGCACTGGGTGTTATGCTCCATTTTCTCCTTGAAAGTTAAAAATTGCAGCCGACATTTACAACACTGGTGAACACTCTTTTCCCAGTGTCCCCTGTAATGACACATGTATGGTGTTGCGGTTTTGAAAATTTTGAGACAAAATGGACAAAGCAGATTCTTAGTGTTCACGTGGCACTTCCTAAAATGTGTTTCCACATCAACAAAGACTGATGACCTGTAATTGCAAACCTGGCAAACATACGGCATTTCCCCAGGCTTATGATCGTCCTTCATGTGTTGTAAGAGAACTTGATCTGTTTCGAATGACAGCTCACAGATTTTACAGACAGCAGAGGGCTCCTGGGTAGTGTGCACACTGTCAATGTGACACTGCAGCTGGAAGGGAGTGGGAAACTGCCGGTGGCAGTGCTGGCAGGTGGTGTGGTTTTCCCAGCTGTCACTTTTCTGTTTCTCAAGTTCCAAATGGTGCTTTACGTGATTCATAAACTTCACATTTTTCAGAACTTTCAAGCAACTGAGGCATTTAAAGGTTGTGTAAGTTTTCTGTTCTGGCTGCCCATCTCCTTTATATTGTCCATAGTAGAAGTCACTAAGTAACATAATTAGATTTCCTTCCTTAGGATCAGAGGTCTTGTTTTGACTTGTAACACTTGAAACATCTGTTTTTGCCAATTCATTTTCCCTATCAGGATTTAAATTCATAGGCTCAAAATGGGCACTGTCATTTAGGAAAGGTACTCCATTCTTAACAAGGCTTACTGAGGCAGGAACATCATTTGAGGGTATATTTTGTTGAGGATTCACTGTATGGAAAATGCTTGAAGGGACAAAGCTGAAGAACATTCCCCGATGATTCCATCACTGAGTTTAGGCCTCTGGGGATTTATGCTATTTACTTCAGAAGTAGAATGTCGCTTTCCTGTACAAGGACTTTCATTCACACCTCCTACTGAAAGTGCTGCTTCTACTGGACGATGCAATGAACTTGTGATGGTAAACACAGGAGAACACAACTCGGAAGAGCTACTAGGCACAACTTGTGATGGATTATTTTTATAATCTGGTATAGATAATGGCTCAATAATAATAGGACTATCTGTTGATCTTGATTCAGATGGAGATGCTGGCAAGATAGTCACTGTTTCTGATGTAGAGGCCATAGGACTTGTAGGCTGTACTCTGTGAGCATTACCATTTCTTAGGCGACTATGCTTTTTTCTCCTTGAACATGAACCTGGGGTGACTCTGTTCAAAATGTTTGAAATGACTGGCTTTGAATGTGAAGTTACCCCAACAAAGATTATTTCAGCATCTTCATTTACATGTTCCACTCCAACAAAGATGAGCTCAGCATCTTCACCATCTATTTGTTTGGTTTCTTCTAAGTTCTTCTGTGGTTTGGGATCTTCTTCTTCTTCTTCACATACTAAACATGGCTGATCCATTTTCAGTTTTTAAATTCTTGAAGGATATGGCTACAAATTCCAGTGTTTCCTAAGTACAAACATATACACATCAGTAAGTATACAAAAATGCATTACCTTATTTAATTCCCCTCCAAACACTGAGGTAGTAATAAATATCCTTATTTTATAGGCAAGGGCACTAAGACTCAAGTAGGATTAAATGATAGCTTAAAATCTGAAGTCACCTAAAAATACATAACATTAAGTGGAATAAACATTATGCTTTTCCTCACTATTTCGCTTACTTTATTTTGTTAGCCCAACAGTGGTAAGATACTATGCCAAGCAATGTAACAGAATAGAAGACCCAGAAATAAAATCACACAGCTATAGCCATCTGATTTTTGACAAAGAAGCCAAGAACATACACTGGAGAAAAGCAGCCTCTTCAACAAGTACTGCTGGGAAAATGGTTATCTACATGCAGAGGACTGAAACTAGACTCCTATTTCTCACCCTGTACCAAAAACAATTCCAAATGGATGAAAGATTTTAATGTAAGATCTGAAATTCTGAAGCTATTATAGGAAAACCCAGGAAGACACAGATATAGGTAATGATTTTGCTAAAAGGACTCCAACTTCCCAGGAAATAAGACCAAGAATTGACAACAGGACTTCATAAATTAAGACAGTTCTGCACATCAAAAGAAACAGTATCAAAACACAGAAAGCTATTCAACAGATAAAGGATTAATACCCAGAATATACAAACAGCTCAAAAAGTTAAACAGCAAAAGAATAAATAATCTAATTAATAAACGGGCAAACGAATTGAGCACCCAGTTCTAAGAAAAAATACAAATGGCTAATACAGATATGAAGAAATAGCATCCTTAGTCATAAAGGAAACTGAAATCAAATTACACTAATATTCCATCTCACCCCAGACAGACCTTCAAGGATACAGGGAAAAGGGAACACTCATACACTGTCAGAAAGAATATAAGCTGTTGCAGTCACTAAGAAGTCAGAGACTTATGGATGTTCCTCAGGAAACTAAATAGACTAACTTATAACCTGCCATGCCACTCTTGGGCATATATCTGAAAGAGTGTAATCAATCCACAAAAGAGAGATTTGTATAGCCATGTTTACTGTAGCTCTGTTCACAATAGCAAAACTGTAGAACCAGCCAAGGTGCCCAGCATATGTGACAGACTTATATAAATGAACACACATTAAATACACACGCATATATATATATATATATATGATAATGCACACGCATATAAACACATACATGCATGCTTATTTCTGAAGGCTGTGCTATTGCTTTAACCCTAAGAATGCACTGAAGTGTTTCACTGGTTTTCACCTCATTTTTCTCTATTTTTAAAAACTTACTCAATTGTCCCAACAACTTCCATCAAATAAGTCATAGTATCTTATGTGATTTCAAATAATGTTTAAAGCATTATTCATTATAACCACCTATCATTTCCATTCCTATTAATGAACCCCATACTACTCAAGCCCCAACTTCTGAGCTTAGTTTTTATTTTCACATCTGTACTATGCAACAAATTTTTCTGTTTTTCTTTTTTCTCTGTCCGTCAAATTATATAGCACACTAGCACTAGGATGGACCTACAGATCCTTTGGGGCTGGCAGAGTGGCTCATGCAGTAAGAGCACCTACCTAGCAAGCATGAGGCCCTGACTTGAGTTCAAACCCCTGTGCCAGTGTCACCAAAAAAACAAACAAAAATCCAAGACTTACTGGTCCTTCATTCCTAAATGTCAAATGATTTCACCTAATTCAGCGAGTATATTTTAGATTATGCTACAGACTGAACCCCCAAATTCATATATGGAAGCTGGCTTTAGAAGAAATCACCAGGGTAGAGCCCTCAGGATAGAATTAATGCCCTTGTAAGAGAGACACCATAGACCTTATTTCCTCTCTCTCCCCCATTTGAGAACACGGGAAAAAATTAAGGAGGCTATGAGATAGGAAAAGAGCTTTCAATGGGGAACCAAATTAACTAATACCTTAATCTCAGACTCTTAGCCTCCAAAACTATGGGAAGTAATTCCTGATTTTCAAAGAATGATTAAGCTGTATTCCAGCAACACTGCCAGACTTCATCTAGTTGATCCTGATTAGATTTTTGGCTATTGTCCATACTCTGAATTCAACCAAATCCAATCAATTACTCAAGATAAAAAATGAGCTGGTGATATAGCTCAGCAGTAGAGTGTTTGCTTGGCATGCACAAGGTCCTGGGTTTAGTCCCCAGTATTACAAGTTAAAAATTAAAAGGAAATAAAAGAAAAAAAATGAAAAACAGAACAAGAATCAGGAATAAAACTAGTAAGTTATACAAATGAGTTCACTTACAAGAACAGCCATTAAAACATAGGTGTTTTTCTATCACTTCTCCTTTATGGATCCAGAACTACTCCTCCACAAATGTACATCCATCCATGGATGAATGGAAAACCTTTATTTTCAAATTTACCAGAATCTTGACTTAATGAGGTGGGGCAGTTGGACATGAAAAGAACTACTGTATATAAGGGTTCTGTACTCAAAACTTAATTCATATTCCCACCAAGAAGTACTAAGAGCCATGGGAGGGGTCAATAAGAGGCTTTCAATCCAAAGACAGCTAAGGATCAGCAGTGGATGATGATCCACCTCCCATATTATATTTATGCATTTAAACAATGACCATTCTAGTGGGGCTATGTTTTGCAGTCACACACCAGCTTTTTTCAGGCATTAGTCCCTCTTGAGTAACTTCTGAGGTTAGATCTTAGACTACTAGGGCACCTCTTGTATCTATTCATACCATCTTCCCTTGCCTCATTCTTCATTCCTCTAAACTTCTCCATTCTCTTACTCTCTCTACATCCACAGCACTCTTGTCCCAACCCCACCAATAACTCCATACATTTTTTCCTTCGAATTTAACACCCACTAAACATACAACCTTTGGGGAAATGAGAGCTTCACAATATACTTAAAACTACAGTAAACATTTGCATTCCATCCTGGGGAACTATATAAAGCAAAAATAATTTTTTTGAAGCCAGATGTTGTGGTTCACACCTGTAATCCCAACACTTGGGAGGCTAAGGCATGAGGATAACAAGTTTAAAGTCAGATTCAGCTATATAACAAAAATCTCTCAAGAAAAAATATTAAGGTCTGGAGTGGCTCATGTGGTAGAACATCTACCTTGCAAGCACAAGGCCCTGAGTTCAACCCCCAGTACCACACACACACAAACACACAAATTCTATCCTTTAAGAATGAAGCCCTGAGTTCAAACCCTGTCCCATCAGAAAAAAATAATAGCAATTTTTTGAGCTGGGGATGTAGCCAGTGGTGGAGCATGTTCTTAGCACATGCAAAACCCTATGTTTGGGTCCCAGCTGCAAAAATAATTAAATCTTTTTCACAAATATTTGTAATATATACTCTCTCGTAAGTAAGCTCGAGCAGGTAGTGTATAAAATGGGGTCAACGCTAGTCTGGAGGTCTATGAAGGAAACATCTGTTTTGTGAGGAGAGGTAAGTCTGAAACTTGCTATGTACCTCAGGCTGCCCTTGAGTTCATGATCCTCTTGCCTCTGACTCCCTAGTGCTAGGATTAACAAGCATGTACCACCATGCCTGTCACAGGGAACAACTATTAAGCCAAGGTTGTTCTTTATTAAAAGACACGAATATTTTTATACACTACAGTTAGAGAAAAATAAGGAATTTATAGATTCTCACCACTATTTCCATTCTTGCTACCTCTGTGACTTCTCTCACTATTCTAGCCTCCATTCATTCCAAACCAGCCATAGGAACATCCTCACTGCTCCTTCAGTATTTCCGACCCACTTGTCCCATGTATAACATGGGACATTTAATCTCCTTCAAGGCCATATTCAAATTTAACTTCTCCAGGAGACTCTCCCTGGCCACCTTATCTGAAATTATATTACAACTACATCCCCACTTCCACTTCTAATCTTGTAACCCTGGCTCTACTATGTCTCTCCTAATTGCATATACTGCCCTGTATTTCATCAGAGAATTTATGTGTTTGTTATGTTTACTATCTTTCTTCTTCTACTAGACTATGAGTTCTCCTGTTGGGAGTTTTTTCTGTTTTTTTTTTTTTTGTTGTTGTTGTTGTGGTGGTGTTGTTCATTTGCTTTGCTTTTTCCTGCTTTTACCTAAAGTGCCTAGAGTGGTGTCTACAACACAGTAAACACACAAACACTCATTAAAAGAAAGACTATCTAGAAAGAGAAATAAATTCAGCATGCTAGGCCTGGCGGTGCACACCTATAATTCCGGACTTGGGAAATTAAGGCCTGAGGATAACAAGTTTAAGCCAACCTGGGCTACATATCAAGACCCTGTCAAAAAACAAACAATGAAATTCATCAAAGAATGTTGGAATGAAGGAAGGGATAGGAACATTCAAATCTAAGAAACAGCCAATTTTCTCCAAGGCTGTGTACCACTGAGGTAATGTCACAGGAAATGGGAGAGCTCTATAATCCTCTGAAGGACATTCCCCCATCACGGAACCAACAGTTTGGGGAAGCCTCTCCTCAGGAAAGTAGGCTTAAATTCCTTCATGGGATAATTTTCCAAGCACAGGAAGAATCTGTCTCTTTCCCTTTTCTTCCAAGGGTAGAAAACTGTACAGGAGATGTGAGCAGGGTAGCAGTTCAACCTCAAAGTGACATTAATTCAAAGGCAAGCTCTTTTCACTAAGATTGAGTGTTTACAAAGGTTATCAGGTGAACAAGAACAACTTAGAAGTTGTTGTGGAGGAAAACACAATGGGCAATTTGTTAAGTGCCCAGCAACAAGGTGAGGTCAGTGGGAATTGTGAACTAAGGACCTACAAAAAGCAGCTCCCACATAAAAGAAAAGAGAATAACAAAACGTGTAAAAATAAAGTCTGTTTAGATCCTGGAAATCAATAAAGCCTTGCAAAAATCAGAGAATTCTTGAAAATGATTTCATGGTTCTTCAAAAAGTTAAACATAAAATACAAAAGAAAAATAAAAAA